ATCTAATTTACATAATATAATTTGGATATTAGTAAATCTTCTTACCAGAGGCACGTCGCTGTTTCCAAGTAACAACTAAAATAACAGCACACTATATTTAGGTTACAATTGAGACCATTGATAAATAACCGACATAGATAACAGTGGTATCAGTTTTTTTTTTTATCAAGGTTGCACAAAATCTTTTAAACCCTCATTGCACAATTATTCTGTTCTATATTATCACACTCACACACGTCTATACAACCTGTTACACACAAGAAAAAAAATGAAAGAGAGAAACTTATAATTAACCGGGGTTCGATTTCCGGAACGGACGTGAAAAGGTATGGGGTCATCTGCCCGACCACGTGGGTTTTCCCCTGGTACTCCGGTTTCCTCCCACAATATGACCCCTCACACACTGACATCCGGGCCAACAAGAGTGATTAGTATAAGTTGGGGAAACTTGCTTCGCAATTGTTGTAAAATAGATTAAGTTTATATCTATATTCATAATTAACAGGTTGTCAACACATTAAAATGATAATTTGAGGTATGTATTCTAAAAATAGAAAACAGGTGCCCTTTGAGAAGGGTTTCCTTTATCAGTTATATAAGTTCAGCAATAGAGCATTGATACTTCACATAATTAAAAACCAGAAACAAACATCAGACATCCTCCAATCTATATGGCACCAACTGTAATATGTGGTCTGTAACATGGGCTTGGCTTACAAATTCCATGTTGAGACTGGTGTTTATAAGTTCCTAACTTCCTGATTAGGTTGTTCTATTTATAGCTGTGAAGTATTTACCCAAAAGTAATTTCGTTGATTATCCAGCTTGTATACATTATGATGCCTAAAGTCAATTTGGAGCATGTATGGCTACTGTCTGTAACGAGGTACCCCAGGTATGTGCTGTCCCGGAACCCATCAATCAAACTTACCTCCCCTTAGTAGCAATGTCCACATGTAATCTCCTCTATACTGTATACTGTTAAGTAGTAAATTCTTCAATAACAAGTTAACTTAGGTTAGATAGGAGAAAACTTCGATAGGAATTATCCAACATATTTCTAAAGAGTCATGAATGATTAAATTGTTTCCTACCTTTTATGTTACCACAGATTACTTGTAACGAATATACATTACTTAATTTTGAATTTTGAAAATGCTGTTTCCCCATGGAAAATCTGAACACATATAAATGACTTTTAAGGATATTGATATCTCCTCAGAGAGCTAATGAAGGGAAAATCTATCTAGTTTCCTGGATAACTTCCACGATCACTTCCTGTTATAAATCTGACACAGTTAAATGACTGATTTCAAACTTTCTGTATAATCCGATAAATGTTTGATACAATATCTAGATAATCACACTCAATAATAACAACAAGCTATTTATGTATCCTAATTAGAAGAAGTTCTATTTTTAACTAAGTCAGGATTGTTGAGATCTTATGTATTCAAATTTTATACTTGTAAACCAGTGTAAAACTGCAGAAATTTGATTACTTATAAAGTTCTATTCATAGATATCATCGACTGAGAATTAATGTTAAATGTGAAAAAAAAGGGTACAAATACCATTACAATACAATAGCTTTAGGAAATTGTCTTTACTTAATGCAGATATTCAGATTTTAACTTACATATGTGTATTATCAGAATAACTCTTTCCCAAACAACTTTTCATTTCTAGAGCCTAATGTAAAAAGAAAAACCAAACAAAGACTAATTTCGCTGAATACCTTATTGACAAGATTCCTATGTATCAGACAGTTAAAGGATTCTAAATAGAGCAGGTCCACCAGTAGTCCTACATCCCTATCACAAGAATCTGATCTGTCTTATTTACTAGGAATCAACAAAATCAATGATGTAGAATTATTGTCGAGAAATGTAGCTGTATAGGTAGAGGTTTTTATTCTGGGGCCAAAATTTCTGTGTTGATTGATTTCAGGGTAAACCAAACAGTTGGTCACTCTGATAAATGATGGCTACAGAAATGAGTAGGCAGGTGTGTGTTTATATTAACACTGTCGACCAACAGCCAACACTTCTATCATATATAGCCCTAAGGGTGTTTAATAGGTAAGTTTGGTATAATGATGGGCTTTACACAGTAAACAAGGTAAAAATTCACTTGCAAATAAATTAGTGCACTCAAAAAGATTCTGTCCTAACACAGGTGTGTTAATAAATGTTAGGTATAACTACTACACACACATGCAAAAGGAGGTATTTTACACACACATGTAAAAGGAGGTATTTTACACACACATGCAAAAGGAGGTATTTTACACACACACATACACACACAAAAGGAGGTATTTTACACACACATGTAAAAGGAGGTATTTTACACACACATGTAAAAGGAGGTATTTTACACACACATGTAAAAGGAGGTATTTTACACACACATGCAAAAGGAGGTATTTTACACACACATGCAAAAGGAGGTATTTTACACACACATGTAAAAAGGAGGTATTTTACACACACATGCAAAAGGAGGTATTTTACACACACATGTAAAAAGGAGGTATTTTACACATACATGCAAAAGGAGGTATTTTACACACACATGCAAAAGGAGGTATTTTACACATACATGTAAAAGGAGGTATTTTACACACACATGCAAAAGGAGGTATTTTACACACACATGCAAAAGGAGGTATTTTACACACACATGCAAAAGGAGGTATTTTACACACACATGTAAAAAGGAGGTATTTTACACACACATGCAAAAGGAGGTATTTTACACACACATGCAAAAGGAGGTATTTTACACACACATGCAAAAGGAGGTATTTTACACACACATGCAAAAGGAGGTATTTTACACACACATGCAAAAGGAGGTATTTTACACACACATGCAAAAGGAGGTATTTTACACACACATGCAAAAGGAGGTATTTTACACACACATGCAAAAGGAGGTATTTTACACACACATGCAAAAGGAGGTATTTTACACACACATGCAAAAGGAGGTATTTTACACACACATGCAAAAGGAGGTATTTTACACACACATGCAAAAGGAGGTATTTTACACACACATGCAAAAGGAGGTATTTTACACATACATGTAAAAAGGAGGTATTTTACACACACATGCAAAAGGAGGTATTTTACACACACATGCAAAAGGAGGTATTTTCTTTGAGAAAATGGTGTTTTACAACGTATCAACAATAGACTGGTGATGAATGACCTTCAGCACTAGAATATCAATACTATTTTACAAATGATTGGTCCAATCATAATCACTGTTTCAACTGCAGCTCCCTATTCTTATTAGCAAACTCTCATAAACATTTTTCAAGCACCACCTTTGCCAAACACACCTTCTATCCTGGCTTTTCTCAGTTAACGAAATCTAGGGTTGTACATGGTTTCCATAATTGTATCAGTTTCAATATGAAAGCTGCTTTCCAGTAATTAAGAAATTAAGCAGTTATTTTTAAATAGAAGTTTTCCAGGTGCTTTTTACATCAATACAGTGACATGAAATGATCAGACAATATGTTATATAATCAACACTTAAAAATATCTTACCATATAGATATGGATCATCTTTACCAGTAAACATTTAAGACCAAAATTTTGATAGAAGCTCAACATATCAAAATTAAAAGCTACAAAATGCAGCTTCCACATTTGCTAAGTATGTCTGGAAGATTTTCCAATCAGGATAATTTTAGTACGTTCTCAATGATTTTAGTCACTCCCCTTTATGGTGAGAAGTAAACAAAGGAAAGATGTAAATATTTAAAAATCAATGGTGTGTGTTGATACTAAATCCAGATATGCTGTCTGAAAATTGAGAATTGCCACGGCAACAGTATTTGCTGGGTTTTTGCCCCTAACAATAGCTGATGTGGCTGCTATAATGTGCTCTAGCTGATCAATAATGCAATGTTGATTTCATGACTAGGCATGTGAAGTTCTAATTCATTTCACCTCACTCCCTCTCTGTTCCCAGCATCAACATGCTAATGGAGAACATACCCAAATGGCCAGTCAATGTTCATAACACAGGCATCATGTTTCTCTCTCTATCAGGTTATGGATCACACTAGTGAAATCAGTCAATATAACATTAAAATCCACATACTATTTCCAGTGTGGGTTAATACGTCATCATCATATTAAATCAAACATACAGTGCTCTTCTTGTTAACTACATCATTTCTCCTTTTTCCCTGCAGCACAGTTTTATTACTATTTATAAACACAGGAACACTTTGTCAGAATGAATATACACTTGCCAGAATTCAACAACATAAATGAAAAATAATTGACTTCCTAAACAGGATTAATATCTAATATGACAATGTTACTGTTTTGCTATAATTATACTTTGTTGATAATTAACATAAGAGTGATATTTTTGTAAAGAAGTTTTCAATAAGACAGGATATATTTCTTTAATTAAAAACTCCACATAATATAAAATGACTAATCCTCGACCTCCAACCCCCTATAACATGTTTATAATGTGTGTAAATATGTCAAATTTCTCCACGTATATGTATGTATCACAGTGTTAAGAACTATACGTTAAAATCTAAGTACTTTAAATGTGAACCCCCGGTGTCATTAAATACTGTAATGATACATACATATTAAGGCAAGGAAATCAATGTAGTAAGTACTTTAGAAAATACCAGATTTTTGTCCATGTAGAGTATAAATATAGTTACCAAGGAATGATGGAGTGATGTGTCTAAAATCTTACATGGTCTAAACAAAATTAATCACGACATATCTACATCTGGAAACATGGATTCAGTAGATTGACGAAACACACTTCAACTAGGCTGCCATACAACCTTTAACACCTCTATATATACTCTTAAGCTTTACTAAATACATTTCAGCTACAGTCAAACTTAACTAGACAACACTTTATCTGATATCTTATGTTAAGTCACAAAGTGAAACGTGCATGAAGAATCCCTTGTAAGTGTATCAACAGTGTACAGGACTTACCTTTACATCATCCCTTATGGCTGCGGAGGCTGAGCTTTTGTGTTTACACATATATCCAGAGAAAATACTCCACTATCACAAATAAAATATGTCCAAGTCTGATTTCTTGACTTCCTGCTGGAGTGGTGTGTGACAGTTGATCCCTGTGATACCCTGGGGGTCAACTGTGGAGACAGAAAATCAGTAGTATAAGGGTCAGTAGGAAAATAGCGTACAAGCTAGCTTGTGTGTAATGACTTCCAACACATCTGCCAGGGAAGTACATATGGGCATGCAAAGTTGGGGGTCATCTCAAAACCAAACAAGCAGTATCACCAGCAACTACATCAAACATTATCTTGTTCCTCATCTTAATATCTATTACAGATATGGCAGTTCTCACTCTTTGTATTAATATAACTAATTCCTGTAAAATGATGTATAGATATGGATAGTAATTTAAGGTTATTTTTATTTAAATTTCTGTACAACTTATTGTATGCTTCAATGTAGACTTATTGACAAAGTTATCATCAAAAGCTATCTAAGACTTAAGAAGGTCAGTTCTCAAGGTGTCCTTCAGAAACTGTGAGGTATTGTTTTGTAGATAAAAGTAGTGTAGTGTGACTTATTACCATGATAACAATACAAGATAGAATTGATGATAAGACAGTGCAGGTGAATTCAGGTTTATAATGCAAAAAGCCTATTTATAAAAATAGTTTCTGAAACACCATAAGTGAATCACAAAAATGCAGTAAGCAAGTGCATCTTTCCTCCCTAGATAATCTGTGTTAATCACCTGTTCAAAACCGTTTATCAAAGGGAGGTAAATCCTCAAGTGTTTCCATTGTAATGTCTTCAAAGTAAAAATGTTAGCATAAATCAGAAAAAAATTGTCAAAGGAAAAAAACCTAAATCTAACATTAATAGACGTGTACACTTGACAAAACAAAGACATGGAGTGTGTTTGTCCATCTGTCTTCAGCTATAGGGTCGCTGATCAATTACCACTCGTTGAAAGGAAACAAAGGCTAAGTAGGTGACATGCAGCCTCAAAAAAAAGAGAAAGTTTTTTTATCTCTTACATATTTCAAAGTCTTTGTAATAAAGAAGATATATCAGCCTTTTTGTCTTTTTTTTTTGAGTTGGTGTGGGGGGGGGGAGTGAGAGGGAGGCGTTATGTTGTTTATTTTTTAACAACTAAAGAAAGATAATAAAAAGATAACCATATAGTACCAGTCTATTCAATTTAGGTAACAGATATAATATTATAATCACCAACAAAGTGTGTTCAGGTTGTATCTAAATCTAGTGATGGAATGTGTGCTTTACACAAATGATACATGTTTGCTGGTATTCCTTTGTTTTTCTCTCTTCAGTGTTGTTTTTGACCAACTTTTATCAATCAATGGATGCATTTTAGGCTTTGTACTTTATTTTTCCAACCATACATATATCAATAATGACACCTTCAACTAGAATTAGAACTAGGCCAGTGTTAATATCTATCATCCCTAACACTATCATTACTTATACCATTGCAGTAATTTTATATAGAAGATTGTCAAATTATATACACATTAATGTAAAACTGATGCCTAACCCACCATAAATCAATGACAACGATAACTATTAGAGGTCAAAATGAAGGTCAGATCTTCTCCCACACTATAGATAGATTACAATATCCTAGAATCAACATAAGAGAATCTGAAGGTCATGATGAAGGTCAGACGTATCAGACAACAGGATGCCCTATAACCTTTAATACAACTCCTGGTAGAACATGGAGAAGCACCAATCCTGTTATCTGTGAACTCCTGGGGTGTGAATATCAGTCAGGTTTTGAGATGAATGCCATTGACCTAAGGTGAGACTTTTCACTCTGCAGGATATTTTCAATAATTTGACCTTGACATTGCTCTGATAATAGTATAAGTCTATCTATATATAGATACTTATAGTACAGCTTACAAACCAGTACGTCTAGTGTACCGACCACTATGTTTATCCATGTAAATCACTATGAAAATTGATGGCAAAAGATATCCTACATTCTTAACTTTAATGGATATACATGCCTTGTTTTTAAGCCGACGTAGACAAAAATGGCCAGTTTTAAAACAGAAAGCTTTAATCACTAAATATCAAAATTATGTTAACTGGCATAGCAGAAAGCCAAAGTGGCCTACCAGAAATTTTAGCACCAGTATCACAATGGAGTATAATATTGTTGTGGTTAGCAGCATTCAAAGGGACCTCAGTCTTGTAAAACAAGATGCTAACAGCTTAGAAAATTAGTTTGCTGATGACTTCAGAGCTGGGTACTGTATTTTATAGCAATTAAGCCCCCTTTCCACTTTTACCTGTCTTCCAAGAACAGGGGGATTCATCGCCATTAAACGCCCACCAAAAATAGATTTACTTAATTCTTCTTATAGATTAACACTCAAGAAAAAGAAAATTACCAAGCAACAACCGTGTTTGTGTTAGGTTTTAATAAAAAAACAGTGTGGACAAACCATACTGTCATAATTATCCCTGAAACAAAACATTATTGTCTTATGTGTTGAGGAAGTCACAATTTCAGGCCGTTGTTTCTTCAGTCATTCATGGTATTTATCATTTACGGTGACTATTGATAATATCGATGTTCCTAGGCCACGATCAGGATAAATGATCCATCCTTGATATCAGCTTGAAGAAATATCACCCACAAAATTCTTCAAATGACCCATAATTCTAGGCCTACATATGACAGCTAACATCATGTCAGGTACACAAGTTTGTGTCTGACATTTCCAGTCTTTGCAGAAACAAAAGTCAGTCATTTATGTATTGTTTAGTACGTTGCATCCAAGCACTTCACTCCTTATCACTGTAAACAACTCCATTCCTTCATTATCATCAGAATTGTTGGTAGCAAAGTGAAAATATGCAGCATTTTGGCTGGCTTTCCATGCAGTCATGCTTAATCTAAAGCCTTTTTTCTAAAGAGCCCTTTTTTATCTTTCATCTTTGTTAGGGTAAACAATTATCCAAGATGGCAGACTTGAAGTTACAAATGAGAGGCTTGTGAAAAAGTCCTCTCCCTACTTTTGGTCAATGTTTTTTCACTTGGGGAAGAAGGGTGGGAGTGGGGGGGCTTATTTGTGGTAAAATGTGGTAAAATACGATAGTGACATAAGCCACATTAACTTGTTATAAGACAAATTCTGTTCCTTGTGGGTAGTAATACAATCTACCTAGGAAATATTTCATAGCTCCAGGGGTAGAACTGACCAACCTTACTGTTATCCAACAACACTAATGGTGATGGACAGTTTATCTCTAGATCTCCAGTGGACTGAAGAAGACTTCCAAGTTAATAACACATTCATAATACTAGTACTATAAAGGGTGACCACAGGCTAACTCTGTAATTGTACAAACCAAACCCTGACATTACATAAACATTCACGGATTAGAGACTTATTAGGTGGGACCAAACAGACACGTTAAGATATTGTATACAAACACTTCCAGTCACTGACAATCCAATACAAGAATACTCACACATCAGGAGGTCCAGCTAATTCACACCAAATCAATCCTTATCACATCAACTAGTGTCAAGTCATCATTACTACAAATAAAATTTAAACATGGAAATTTCTAATTACTTCACTGCTTGATGTAACACATTTACCTTAGATAAATCCCATGAACGTTAATAGGTCCTTTACTATATAACATCATGTCTGGTAAGGGCCAGTTCGGAATGTTCCAGTTTTAAATTCACTCTGAAGACAAGAGCCTTTAGCAGTGACAGCTGTCAACACTCCCAACATATCTAGAAGTGATTACAAATCATAATTTTTTGTTAGTGGCGGTTTTGAATTTCTTTGGTTGGTCACTGGAAACCCGTTCATCCAATTCTTTTTTGTTTGTGAAGTACTTGACATTTCATACAATAATTTCCAATTTTATATGACAATGAAATTCAATTATTTATGACAACAATGTACTTTTTTCATCAAAATGTTCAGAACTGATGACACCCTATTTAATCACCTAGGTAACTTAAAACTGCCAATATATGGCTTCTTGTTTGACATGAATTTTGTCAGTAATAGGGGGATGGATTTTAATAAGAACAAAAAATAAATAAAAAATGCAAAATTGTTTCAAGTAAAATAAATCCAGTCCTTGATATTACAGAAAGTATAACCCCTTTATATGAGGTTGTAATGAGAAATACATCTCATGACAGTACTTGTAATGATTACAGTTTGTGTATAAAAATGCTCAATCTTAAAATGGAGAGGTATGAATGATGCACTCATCACCAACTGCCAGTGGCCTCGCCTTAACATACATTTGTCTGTTGACCTTTCTCACGCCTCTGTCCCCAAAACCTTACATGGGCGTAGTCAAAGCTTTTCCCCCCTCAATACTGCGCCAAATTTTACTCAGCTCATTCAGTGCAATGTTGTTTATGTTTAAGAGATTGCAGATCTAGGTCTAGCCTACAGCAGCATTATCAGCTTAATGTCAGAAACAATCAATTATATTTTCCTATTTAAAAATTTCCATATTTTTCAAAATATATCATACAAAATTAATCATAAAAATTCAACCTTATCACATTCCCCATATAATTATTTATATTGTCCAAATATGGAATAAATCAATTACATTGATGCATCACAAATGACTAAATTCCTCCCACTATCTACTTGGAATACTCATCCTGTATTGTCTACCACTGAGAGAATGACTCCAGTGTCAAGTGGACATGTACAAAATATCATTTATCTTTAATAGTGTGTCTAAAAGTCCATGCATGGAATCTGACTTACATACTACATACATACAGATTTTGGTGATATGTTATTTTAGTGCTTTTCATGATGAAAGTATCAGTATCAAAATATGATTACCCTAATAGCAGTTTCTGTATAATCTTTATATTGTAATTATTATTCCATTGTGTATCAAAACAAAATGATCATTGCACTAATATGCCTAACTGATTGTGCTAAATTAAGAATGTGTATAGAATTGTAATTACCTATATGCTATATACAATTTTGTTGTCAGAGACTGTTTCTATAAAACAATAACACATAAATGTATGCTACCTTGCAATGTAGATTTACTGACCTCTGGTACAAAACAGTATCAAAGAGAGCTGTTAAACAAGACTGGATCTGGACTTCATAGTTTTGGCAGAACCATTCTGCCTTACGTAG